GAGTAGGCGGATAGGAGTGGGGAGTGGAATTAGGAGAGTGGTTGCTGGTCAGAGTTTTTTAATGATTTTTATGCTCCCTAACAGGAAACAGTGAGAAAAAAAAAAACAGGGACACTAAGGAGGATGGGACTCAGCAGTAGGACACTGTCTGCTTTCCCACCTGGTTGCTCGGGGTGACCACCCAGCCACCTCCTCTCCTGTAGGCTCAGCGAACTACTTGCACATTTATTTTGCTGTGCTGTGATTAAGCAGCTTTTCTCCTTCCAGTGTTTCATTCCTTTGTGTGTTAATGACAAGGGAATTATCTCACTGTGGCGACAAGAATAGAGGCTCGGAATAAAGACGCTTTGGGTCGTCTTTGCTCACCTCTCTGTGCCTGAGCAGGTGTTTCTCAAGCCCCCTTCCAGGCCGGAGTAGATTCTCACCAGCAGAACACGCTCACTCACTCTCTGTCATGTTCCTGCTCCCTCTCTGCCCACCTGTCTCCCCTCCACCCCCCAAAAGGAGAAAACAAGCGTAACAACTAAACAGAATACATCAGGACTGCAGCTTCTGGCACTCCTCTACCTTCAACTTTACTTTGCTCCACTCTTTTTTCTAACTACTGTATCCTCAGCAGAAAAGTCCAGAACCTCACGTAGCCTAGAGGCAGAACTGTCAAAGCCTATGAGAAAGCAAACAGAGCACTTGTGTGCCCACTTTCAAGGGAGGGACCACGCTTATGTGGTTGGTGGCCGAGCCCCGGCCACTCAGACGCCTAAGACAGAGGGCAGGATACACAAAGACACAAGAACTAACAAGCAGAAGACAGATTTTTTTCTTTGTGTTCAACAATTTTATACATTGATTCTGCATGATCAGTTTTCCTAAACTGAAGGATTTATTGACATTTTTGAATCCTTTAAAATAATTACATTGAGCAGGATACGAACCTGGTAGCCCTTGGGCAGGATGCAGCCTGAAGGCGTATTTTGTTTGGCCTTTAGAATGTATAAAAAATATGAGTTAGTTGCTTATGTTTACAGATTTGAGTATTTCATGTAAAATCCCAGATTTCTACCTAGTCTTGAAAAAGGAAAATCTGGCAAAACAAGGCCCATTGCTGCCACCTTAGAGCAGGTGGCTGTCCCCACCAAGGACACAGGGCTCTGGTTGGCACCTGCCTGAGTAGTTTCTTCCCTGTCTCACCCCTTTAGAAATTTACATTTGCATTCTTCTGATGTCAAAAGTCAGCTACTCTAATTTTGAAAATTAGCTCCTGAAATTTGATAAAAATGTGCTTTCCTCTAAAGAATAAGCCATTGGTGGGAAAAAAGTAAGTTCTGACAATGCATCTATCAGGAGGGAGCAGGGACAAGTTTTATGGGTCCCTGTTTTCCTGGAGGTGCACTGGAGGGCTCTGTTCATGTATTGTTCCAGCCTCAAGTAAGTCCATTTGATAGAGAAGTCAGATCTATTACAAGCATAATATAATATGGCCTAATGACTTGCTCAAAGTTTTCTGTGTAAATGTTATAACAAGAAAGTCCTCTTTATCATCTTGCCTGTTTCAGGTAAGCTGGCCTTGGTGACAGTGCCATTGATTCTTCTGTTCCCAAGCACCCCACCCTGACCCTCGCAGACTTGCTCAGTCATGTCCCTCATGGGTGGGGCTGGCACTGTTGGCACAGTGCTGCTGGCACTGCTGACCTTGTGCTTGTGCCTGCCAACAGGAATGGAATATCCCAACTTAACTTGGGGAAGTCTCTCCTAGGTACTCTGGGCAGAGCTTGCCTCCGTGCCACTCTGGTTGAGGCTGAAGCCGGGGAGGTTGGCGGGGGGTGGTTTAAGTGATCTGCACTCAGTCACACCGCTAATTAGTAACGGAGCCAGGATGAGAGCCTTAGTCCACAGTACCCAGTCCCGAGCTCATCCTCAGCCGCCTCCATCCCCCGCCTGCCACTTCATGGGACACACTCTTCTTTTCTAGACAACTGTAAACTTGTAGTGAGGGATTGTCTCATTTCAAGACAATGTTTAGCCAGTCAGTGAATATGGTTTGTGATTATTTTAGTCATGGTTTGGTCTCCTTTATTAAGTTATTCCTGTACATGCCACGTAATTCTATAACTTTAGCAATTGGCATTTTAGACATTCCATGAATACATTTTCATTTTAATAAGTAAGCTCAGTGAAACTGTGATTGACTAGGAAGTTATTCATCCAGAAAATAATTGTGAACACTTTTGAAATGTATGCTTGTGCCTTGTGTATGTTTGGTTATGATCATTTGTGCTATTTGGGATTCACTTCCCGGGTTTGTGACAGTGCTCAGCAGTAGCCAGGCAGCCATCTTGCTGTTTGCTTTCACTGAGAAACATGTTTCTTTTTTTTTTCTTTTTTTTTTTCTTTTTTAACATCTTTATTGGGGTATAATTGCTTTACAATGGTGTGTTAGTTTCTGCTTTATAACAGAGTGAATCAGTTATACATATGCATATGTCTCCATATCTCTTCCCTCTTCGTCTCCCAAGAAACATGTTTCTTGAATCCTCTTGTTAGGTTCCAGTTATTTAGATGTTCGAACACCTTTCCTTTTTCAAGTTCCTGTTTCTTATATCTCTTCTCACATTTTCTATTTCTGCCTTTTGTGTATTCTGAAAGATTACTCAATGTTTTATCTGTCATTAGAAATCTTTTACTATCAGTCAATGTATGTAATTGGCCTAATGACTTGTAATGTAACGTGTAAGAGTTATTTTTATTTCTGATTATTCCTTTTTCATTGCATCCTCTTCTTGTTTTTATGACTGTGCCATGCCCGCTCAGAGAGTACTATTTAGAGGTGATTTTCTTTTTGTTTTTTTTTTTTTTTTACTTTTCCTATTTCTCACATTATCCTTATTTCCTCTGGGAGTAATCTTTATTTTCCTTTTGGTGATCCTGTTTATCCTGAATTTCTCTTCAGTGATTTAGGCTTTCTTATATGTTTTATGATCCTTAGTTGTCTATTCCAATATAAAAATGAGGCAATATTAGGTCTGACAAGGAGTTTTCAGCACATTCGGAGGACTTGTTGTCTGGCAAGCTTCATTCAACAACAGTGGATGCGAACATCATTACTGGGAGGAATCCCTCAGGGTCAGGTGTGGAAGGCTTTCCTCTTTGACACCCATGTCTTTATTAGCTGCTCTGTGTCCTCAACAATTCTTTTATGTTCTGTAGGGAGAACATTTCTGTTGGGAGTGGGGTGTAGGAGCACGTCAGAGTTGACTTCTATAAACAAATCTTGGAATCCTTGAGCTTCAACCCCATGAATCACTGCATCCTCCTTCACGCACGCACAGAGGATTTAAGTGGTACCATATCCATCCAGTATTGTTTTTCCACCAAATCTAGTAGTCATGTTTGCCTTCTCTCTTCTCCCTATACCTCATATAATACACAAAGTACACTTATAGCATGTGTATGTTGTTGGCACTATTCCAAGTGCTTTGCATATATTTACTCATTTAATCTTCACAACAAACTTATGAGAAAAATACAGTTATGATCCCTGCTTTACAGATGGGGTAACTGAGGCACAGAGCGGTTAAGGTTACACAGTAGGTGTAAAAGCTGGGATTCAGAGCCTGTGTTTTTAACCACCACTCTGTCCTGCCTATAATGGATTGATAAGACCCTCCATCTCTTGTACAGATCCTGAATCTGACCACCTATCACCACCTCTGCTCTTGAAAACCTTAGCAGAGGGTTCTCACCACTGATTATTTCATTTGGACTCTGGTTCCCCTGCCTGTCTTCTCCCCTAGAGTCCATTCTCCATGTAGCAGGTAGAGAAATCTTCCCAAAGTGCAGATCGGATCATGGATCTCCCCTGATTAAAACACTCCAGTGGCTGCTGCTCATCTCGACCTGTTAAAGCCCTTATCCTTTTGATGACCAAAGGCCCTCTGTGGCCTGGCCAGCCCACCTCCTGTCAGCCCCTCTTCCTGACCTTTGAACCTGGTAAGCTGTCCTTGTCTTAGGGTCCTTGTATTTGCTCTTGCTACTCTTACCCTGATCTTACCATGGCAGTCTTCTCATCAGTCAGATCCCAGCTCAGATGCTAGACCTTCACTCACACACTCTCAGGCACATTGACTTACTCGAGTTTTTAAAGTTCGTATCAGGACCTTACTTGTTTATGTATGTGTCTCTAGAACTAGCGTCTAAGCTCCTTGAGGGCAGGGACTTCGTCTAGCTCGGTGTTGCACCTTCGGTGCCTGGAGCAGGGCCTGGCACTTGCTAGGCTGATGGGTATGTTGGGCTGAACAATGCCTCCCTCCACTGCAGCCCCTCCCTACCACCCGACAGATGCAGTCACCGCTCATCTCTGCACTCTCAGTTTTCAACAGAAATGTGTTGAAATCTCTCGTCTACTGATAGTCCCTTCCCCGTTATAGTTGTTGAAGTGTTTGTTACACTTTAGTCATTTGTATGTCATTGTCAATATTTTTGTCACATCTGCAATCCCCCATATATGATTACTGACCCTAATTTTTTCTTTAAACTATTTAAATTTATGTAAAGTAGAAACTTAATATCAAAGTGTACATGGAAAAGAAAACCAACATTACTTGTCATGAATAAGTGACTATAAAAGTTAATATATACTGATTAAAATTAAAAATGCCATCTCATATATCACTTAAAATTGTCAAAACCTGTTTTATGCACTGCTTTTCTATACTCTAGCAGTACTGGAGTGTTGATAAATATGTGCTCAGTTATAATCTTGAATTTGAAGCCTATCCTGACCCTATAATGGATCCCGGAGCAACAGCTGTGTCCGATTGTCACATCTCCTAAAGCCAGGGTAGCTGAGTCTGGTGTCTCCATGGCTTTAATGTGCAGCATGTTTTGGTATTTGTCAGTATCCATTTTCAGTGTTGATGTGCACAGGATAAGGAGTGTCCTTGGACCAGTTTGAACACCGTTTGAAATTCTTCTCCTCATGCAGAACTGACTACATTGCACAGATGATGGACATTTCCTTATGTTTGAAACGACCATCCTGGATGGGGGACAGTAAAAGAATGAGGATGACTTCAAATTTCCAGTGGCTCTTATTAACAGTTCTTCTTCTATATTTAATGAATCAAGTAAACAGCCAGAAAAGAAGTAAGTGCATCAGAGTCAGAGAAAATGAACTGATTGCAATGTCATTACTGTTTTGCTTAAGAAGCGATCTTGAGACTTTATTGAACGCTTCAGGTTGTGGTTAAAATCCATTTCTGTGTCATTTTTTTTTAATGTACTTCTAGTTTTTTTTAAAAAGGCCCGTAACGATAGATCTAAGTATTCTTTCCCCATTAAAAAATTAAGGTATATACAGTAAAATTCACCCTTTTAGGATAAAGTTCTGTGAGTTTTGACAGATGCATACAGACATGTATCCACCTGCACAGTCAAGATACAGACCAGTCCGTCATTCCAGAAAATGCCCCTGCTCCTCTGCTGACAGCCCGCCATCCCCACCTCCAGCCAGCACTCGTCTATTTTCTGTCTGTAATTTTGCCTTTCAGAATGTCACATAAATTAAATCCAGATATCTGCTTTAAGAAATATATGATTTGTTTTCATTTTATTTAAAAACATTAAGAATGTTTGTAGGTGTTATCTAGCTTACTCTATAAAGAGCATTTTCATCCTTCTGCCTCTGAGTTTAGTTTTTATATTATTTCCATAATTAAAGAGATCTTCTCTTTTCCCCCCAAATTACTACTAAATAACTTTATTATGATTACTAATGATTTCTAATGTGTTTCTAATGTTTTTGTTTTCTGTCTTACATAAATAGCTTTATAATTCATTGCTGTAGTGAATATCATACCAATCACATGTAAAAATTAAAGAAAAAACCTTTTTAATAGACATTTATATAGAGAATCTGAGATAGAATACCTTTTTCACACTCTTAATTGCTTTTCCCCTCCCTCCCTCTTTTCCTTCCTTCCTTTTGTTCTCCCTCTTTCCC